CCATTAGAATTAATGCTCAAGCTCATGTTTGACCTTGCAGTTAGCTACTCTGCCTTCTTCTGCCTCTCCACATCAGCTGCCTGTCCCCACCCCTGCAGCCTCCATGGTCTCCTTCTCCTTCTCTGCTTTAGTGTCCATTCCACTTTTGAACCTGTATGATTGTGCCTCTCTTCTTCTGCATTTCAACCATTTCTTGTGTATTCAACCCATTCCAGGAATGGCATCTTGGCTGGATGGAGTCATTTCAGCCCAAATGGAATTGAATTCAATGGTGTGAATTCAAGGGTTTTATGGAATAGATTAATAGATATTTTACTTAACTAGTTGGTATATTTTTGTGAATTGTATTTTAAATTTCAGGTCACACAAACAATTTAAGGTAAATTTACTGCCCATCTGGAGAATACTTAATAAGAATGCTTTGTTGTTTGGCATGTAAGACAAATTTTCCAAAAGCAACATTGTCAGTCAATAGAACTTTCTTTTTAAATTTTAGAAAATTTGCTTTAATTCAGGACAGGGTGGAAGCTGCTATAGAATGCTTTCATTGATTGTGATCACTGCTTGAATTGGCAGAGCAGGAAGTGTTATGATGATGAGAACTTGTCTTATTGTTGTGATAAGCTGTTACCAAAGTCTAATTACTGGGTGCGATGCTAAAATGTGTAAGCTGCCGACACTTAAAGATAAGGATTTGAAAAGAAATAAACTCGTTCCAAATAACTCTTCTGTTTGGGTTTTCTCATTATTATTGTTATTTTTGTGCACTCTCCTGAGTGGTGCTTCAGAGTGTATGGATTAAGTCATGGATTTGGCTGCAGATGCTGCCATCAGACTTCAGCTGTGGTTAAGTAAGCTTTAAGCACCAAGGGACTGAATAAAATAATGGTTAGTGAAAAGTGCTGACGAGGGATTCAGTTAATGGTGTGTGCATCTGTGGAGTGAGTGGGTTGTTATTAGCTATTAATTCAGGTGCTGGAGGCAGGATCCAAGTGTGATTAAGAGGAGGGTAAGGAGTAGAGGCCCAGTTCCCATAGGAATTGCAGATGGGAATGTGCCATTCCTGCCACACTGGCTGCCTCAGAACTGGCATTTCCTCAGAAAAGTAGAATTTCCTGCAGTCTTGTCCTGGAAATCTCCATTGTCTGGGGGACAGAGACGTCCTGCTGGGGTCAGAATCCTCGGAAGTTTTGCAGAGCTTCACCTGAGCTCAGCACCCCGGGGAGTCCTGCCCTAACTGCTGTGCTGACTTCAGGAAACGTTTTGGGATCCTCTGGGATGACAGATGCTTGTGTATGCACATGTAACATGCTGTTAATAATTAGAGCTGATTGGATATTCAGTACAAATTACACTGGCTATGAAGTTAGCCCCTTCTTTGGGCTTACAAGTGGCTCACAAAACACTGTTAAAGCCTATTTTTAAATGTATGTTTCTTCATAAACATTGATAGATTTAATTTGAACGAATAATGTCAAGTCTGAGTGTTGTAAAACTCTTGCTGGGCTGTTCACTGTCAGTTGTTAATGGAGCATGTTTGGATTTCTGAGTCACAGTGTAAATATTTTCTATTTCCAATGTTGAGGATGAAACATGAGGTTTGATGATTATTTTTACCAGTCCCCCCTAATAGTGTGTCTGCTCCCACACCCAAGCCCACATGCCATGTCTTCAAAAATAACTGCTTAGAGAAGAGAAATAGGGCTGACTGCATCCAGCAAACAGGAGGGAAAGATAGCATTTCCATTTTCTCTCATTTTCCATGTCACCTGGAAGCTGGGTTAGAGCATTCTTTTAAAGATTTTCATCATGAGCTGGGTTATTTCCCCAACCTGTTTGTCCTTGTGGGAATCTGAAGGAAGAGCTCTGATTTTTTCGAGTATTGACTCAGGCTTAATCTGCCTCCTGTGGTGAAAAAGGAAAAGTTCAGCCCCAGAGGCGACATTTCCCAAAAACCCCACACATGGAGAGCCATGCTCAAATTCATATTTGCTCTTTTTATATGCTCATTTATATTTACAGGGACCCTCTAAGACAGCACACTGTCTTGGTAGAGAGCAATTATTCACTAATGCTAGTACCAGCAACCATGGCTGGTTTGAAAAATGACTCATGATTTTGGTGTAAGAAATCCTGAAATACTTTAGAGAAGCCTGTTTTTCTGTTGAGGAACAGCTCTCTGTGGACTGGTAGGAACTCCAGCTTTGCTGTTGCTAGAGGAGCTGAAGAGGAACAAAATTCAAAGATATAATCATACATTTCTCCTTAATTGGAGGAGGGATGGTGCCATCTGTGCTTTGCTCTTGTCCAGGGGAAATAAAACCCACACTATCAGCATCTATATATCCCCTTCATCCTCCTTTTTGCTTCCATCCTAAAGAATTTAACCAGTTAAAACAGACCCAAAATAACTTTTGCATAAAATAGTGATGTGCAGTGCTATAAATAAAAGTCATTTTCATGTGTATGGCACACACATGGCTCCCTCTGCTTAGCAGTTAATATCCTTAGAAAAACTTTTATTTTCCTCTGGAAAACTAAGCAAAGCAACAACCTAAAAAAAGCCCAAAAACCCACAAAATCCCAGAGTAGTGTTGTTCTTCATGAGAAAGAGGATAGGTGGGAGCAAGGTTAATTATCCTTTTTTTTTTTTTTCTGCCCACCTACGTTTATATTTTCCCTTTGCACTCCCTCTCCCCCATTCCACCTCTTTTTGTATAAAACAGTTCTGCAGTATGTAGAGCATAAGAATTATTTCTCTAGCAGAAACTGCAACCTGCTCGCAGAGCCTCCGTACCCATTAGAGGCTCTTTCCAGAAGCAGTAATTTCCTTCTCCCCATAAATTATGCATCAATGTACATTTAAGATTCTGAGATGATGAACAGAAGATGAAAGTGTTGCTGCTCCCGTGGAGCTGCATCCACGTCCTTGTGTACAGGCTGGAGCACACCTTGTTCAGACAAACCTGCTCGTGTTGCTGTCCTGCTACCCCAGCTGGAACAGAGCTGGGAGCTGCTCTGGCTGTTTGGGCCTCTGCTCTGTGCAAAATACCTTCACAGAATCACAGAATAATGAGGTTGGAAGAGACCTCTAAAGATCATCAAGTCCAACCTATGCCCTAACACCTCAACTAGACTGTAGCACCAAGTGCCATGGCCAGTCTTTTTTTAAACACATGGTGATTCTACCACCTCCCTGGGAATAGCATTCCAGTACTTTATTATTCTTTTGGTGAAAAATTTCTTCCTGATATCCAACCTGTACCTTTCCTGATGTAGCTTGAGACTGTGTCCTCTGGTTCTGTCAGTGCTGCCCAGTGGAAGAGACCGACCCCACCTGACTGCAGCCTCCCTTCAGGAAGGTGTAGAGAGCAATAAGGTCACCTCTAAGCCTCCTCTTCTCCAGGCTAAACAACCCCAGGTCCTTCAAATGTTCCTCATAGGGTTTGTGTTCCCAGCCCCTCACCAACCTCGTTGCCCTCCTCTGGATGTGCTCAAGCACCTCAACATCCTTCCCAAACTGAGGGGCCAGAACTGTGCTTTTCACTTCACAGGAGGCAGAGAGGGGGAATGATTGCTAGTGTTTCCTTTTGGAAACAGAGATGGACTCTGCCAGTGCAAGTCAGGGTGATTCCAGCTCCTGATGGGTTCTGGTGATCCTCCTTCCAGGAGGAGCTGCTCTGGGATCCTGCCAGGCTCAGAGGTGAAGCTGTCTGGCCTCTTCCTAAGTCTTCTATTGTTAAGAAAGGGATTTTGTTTTTACTTTTACAGTCAGTGGGAGTTTCACCAGGCTGCCACAACTCCTCAAATATGGTGGAAAGTGATGTAGCAACTCCATAAAGGTTCCCTGCAGATGCACCTCATCACTTCCCATGGACCTGTGCTCCTTCAGGTTCCTTAGATGGTCTCAAACCTGATCTTCTCTTACAGTCACTGAGAAAATATGTACTGAAAAATTGAAAAATAATGCTTTCAGGTTTTATATAGCATGTGGAGATCACTGAAGAATGTAAATAAATGTATGTTTTAGAGAAGAATTTTGCACTGTTGTCACAATTGAACTCTATGTGAAACAGGGCCAGTGAAATACCTCTGTGCTGTGCTGGCATGAATGAGCATGCACTTATTCTGTGTCTCTTCCATGGTCACTTAAAATGGCAGGGAGGCAGCCCAAGCACTCTGCACTGTTTCCATCACAACTGGTGATGGATTCTGAGCATGTGTTGGCATAACCCTGTGTGCATCTGTGTCCCTTCAAGCTTAGCTTTAAGGTCTAGGTCTTCACTTCTACCCAAGTTGACCTAACTGCTGAATTTCCTCTTTGAACAAAGCCATGTGGTATCTTTCCTTTTCTCTCCTTTGACTAAGTTTTCTTTTAGAGAGAAAATAGTGTTTGCTTTCCAAATGCAACATCCCCCCTAAAAGAACCTGTGTACTAAAGCAGGCCATCGAGCCTTTCATCACTTCTCTTGGTGATAGCAGTCATGAATTTTTTATTTTCTGCAGGGCTCACTCCAGATCTGCCACAGCATTGTGTGGGTGCACACATGTAAAAAGGCTACTAATTGAAATTCAGATGTAACGAGATGAAGTTTGCTATTCACCATGACTGCCTTTTGTTTTAGCCCATGTACGCTCAGTGCACCTAAACAATGCAACCATTGCTTCTCCTTTTAGATTTGACAAGAATAACTAAAAAGGCAAGAAATATTTCTGTGTCTGCTGGAGAGATGAAGTATGCACCCCCAAAAATGGGAATGGCACGTGTTAGCTTCTTTATATACTTATCTGTGGGGAGGGATAGAAATTTTAATGGAACTGTAAAGAAAATGAAATGGAAAACTTACTGCTATAAACTGTTCTCTTTTGAAGATGCAAATGTGTCTCTATTGCCTAGGTAACTATTATGGAACGCCGAAGCCTCCAAGCCAGCCCCTCAGTGGGAAAGTGACTTCCACCAATGCTTTGCAAAACCTGCAGTCTGGCTCCAAGCAGTCGACTCCAAAGCGAACCAAGTCTTACAATGATATGCAAAATGCTGGCATAGTGCATACAGAGAATGAGGAAGAGGATGATGTACCTGAAATGAGCAGTAGCTTCACAGGTAAAGCAAAAATACTGCTGTCTTTCAGTTGGAATACATGGGGAAGGCTTTTGGAGGGTATTTTGAAGAGGGGGTGTTGTTTTTAATGTGTTTTCTGCTGTCAATGTCAAAGAGAACTGGCTGACACCTGAGTGGCAGATACCCAGGTGTGATCAACCACATGCACAGCTGGGTCTTTCCAAAAAGGCCTTGTGGGATTGAACTGGTTGAGACAAAGATGTGGTTAAAGTTCAAATCCATTAATTGCAGAAAGGTCAAGGAAGAGTTGAGCTATGGTTGACAGCTACAAACAGTATGAAATGACTCAACCAGGTTTACATTTGAAATTAATCATTGCTCCCTCCTAAATATGTTGCTGTCCTTTATCCATTCTTGCATCTAGAGCTGCCCATCACATGCAATTGCTGTCCTAGGTCCTCTTCTCCAGGTAGCCCCCAGCACATGGAGGGCTGCTTGCTGCAGGAATGAGATCTGGAGCCTGGGTGCAGGTTCTGTATTTCATGAAGGTCTTGTGTCCTGCTGAACACAGATCTTGTTCCCACCATGGCCTTGGCTGAAAGATCACTGGAAACCTTTGCAATCTCAAGTCAGGTGCTGTGCAGGCAAATTCAGAGTAAAACACCATTGGAGATCCACTGAGTTTCCACAGAAATCAACTGAAAGTTTGTGAAGCTCTGAGGAGCTAGAGCTCTTCCCCATGTCCCCAGGCCTATTATTTGTTAGTGCTTAGAGCATTGTTACCTCAGCTCAGTTTCAAGCACTGAATTCATCTTCTGGGCTCCCTTTGAGGCAGGTACTGAGCAAGTATTATCCACACCTTCAAGGCTTTCCCAGCTGATTGCCTTGGGAGCTCACCATAACTGTCCTTTGTCCTCTGATCATTTTCTATCACCATGAAAATTTTCCTTCCCAGCCTTCTGACTAGAAGATCTGTCCTGCCAGCTCCTACCTGCCAGTGTCCTGGCTCTAACATCTGTTTAGAGCTTTAAAAGGATTTAGGCTGAGATTTAGTTGTGGTCCTCTCCAGGCCAAACTATCAAATGGCTTTTGAGGGTTGTACTCTCTTTGGCTGCTACCTGCTACATTTCCAACTCAAATTGCTTCTAGCCAGCCTAATTTCTTCCAGGTTGGCATTTCTGTCTCTGCTTTCCAGCTCATTGACAAACCAAGGGTGTTTTCTCCCATGTTGTGACATGACAGCAGCCTCAGCCTTTGTCATGGGATCTGATTTTGGGAAGGAGCTGGTGGGAGATCTGTTATTTGATTTCCTTTCTGCCCATCTCAGTTTGGTGTCCCTGATGTAGCTTGAGCATCATTTCTCTTCCTTGTTTTCCTTTGCAAGATGTAATACTGGAAGATGCAGCTCATTTGTCACAACGTTACACACCCTGGCCCCTTGCCTTCATTAAATGAGCACAGAATCAGCAAGAGAGTTATTTCTCATATAGCAAAGTGATTCCTTATGCTTATTTCACATGAAAGTGTGCTAGCCATATTAAAATGCTCCTGCTTCCCTAGGAGACCTCTGGGCAACTTGTGTTTTCCAGATTTTGGCATGTTTGTACTCTCAGTTTTTAGCTGGCGATGATTCTTTCACGCTTCTTTATGTTGTCATCTTCTACCTAAAAATATCAAACTCCAGGAGGGCTGAAAAGCAAGCACTGAGGGTACTGGTATAGTCTAGATGTTTTTCTTCCTGTTCCTCCCAGTGTTCTTCTCTTTTGGTAATGGCAGCACACGGACTAGAATAATGCAGGAGCTGTTTCCAGGGCTGTGGGCTGTGAACTGAGGATGTCCATGGTCTCTGGTGTGGAGAGCAGGGAAGGTTCTGTCTGGGAAGCCCCTTCAGCCCCTCTCCTTGGGGACTTGGCAGAGGGTGACACTGATCTCCCTTTTTTGCTCAGTGCATTGTCAAGCTGTGCTTGTACTGATGCTCTCAGGGGATGTGGAAGTGCTGCCATAAATTTTCAACACCTCCAAGAGCCAAACAGAGAAAGTCCCTTTGGTGGACAAAAGGTTTATTTTAGAATTTGTCCATTGTTGCCAAAACCTCTCTGTGAAGGAGCGAGAGCAAAGACCTGTTTATTGGGGAGCATTTACTGTCATTAGTGATGGGAGGGGATGAGCAGCATTGTTTCATGGATACAGCTCAAAACTGCATGGATACAAGCATCAGAAATATTTCCTTAGAGGGATAAGAGCCAGATACAGCATAAAATTCTCCTGACTGACTTTGACTGCAAGGATACTGTGATGAACCTTGGAATAAACCTCCTCAGACAGCAAGAATGGGCACTAGTGAGCAGCAACACGTGGACACATGGTACAGTGCTGACATTCATTTTAATTTTTAATTTAAAATAACACACTGCACTGAAGACACTTGCCATTAGCTTGTTGACTTTGAGCTTCTGGCAACATTTTGCACTTGTAAAATCTCTTTTGATCATTCTTCAAACAAGAAATTTTATCCTCCTAATCCTGTCCCACAGTTGGCACTGCAGGGGTGAACCTGTAAGCCTGCTTGAAAGCACGCTGAACTCCTCTACACCAGCGAGCCCTGGCTTCAGACAGCTTGGAGGAATGTGGTACCTCAGCAGGGCCTGCTGGAGCTCATCACAGCTCCTGGTTTGTTTGGCTGGCAGAGGGTGTGTGGGCACGGAGAGCTCGCCCCTGCTGCCTCAGAGACTGCCGGGGCTCTGCCCTCGCTCCATCTGCTGCTGCGTCTCGTGAATTTAAAGGCAAGGAGAGGAAAACCGGCAGGATAAACCTGGAGGAGCAAACAGGGAAGGAGAGGACTGATTGTCACTTGTATCTGTGTTTGTTCACAGCAGAGTCTGGTGACCAGGACGAGCACAACGCGCGCATCGGGAGAGAGGCAGCGCCCGCGTCCGCGATTGAGAGGCACACCCACGTCCCCACCACGGACCCATCTCAGAGCCTCCCCCAGTACCTACCTCCTGCTGCCGAGGACAACCTAGGTCCTCTGCCAGAAAACTGGGAGATGGCCTACACGGAGAACGGAGAAGTCTATTTTATAGAGTAAAGCACATTTTTGTTGTTCTGATTCCATCTCTCCGCCTCTCTTTGGGCATAAAGTGAACCTCCATGGATGCGTTTTGTGTGTGTATGAAATATTTAGTGTATACAGTTAGGTTGCAGAGCTGTTAGCTCTTTACTGCTTCTGAAGGGGGTTTGCATTTCCTGATTGGATTAACATCCAAATTACTCCTGAGTTCCAAGGCAGAGGGAATTGCTTGTTTTATGAGGGTAGTTACAAAAGCAACGGACACTTATAAAATACAGGCCAGTTGTTTTCATGGGTGAAATGAAAGCTCCTAATTGGAAGGGCTGAGACTTCATTCTGTGCATAATGCAGCAGAGGGGATTCCTCCAGTCCAGTGCAGCAGAGACAGGGATGGGCTCCGTGTGTTGTCCCCTTGTCACAGCAAAGGGGCCAAATGTGTTAATGTTCTCCAGTGGCTTGCAAAAGGTACAGCTCAGTGCAGGGTAGGCACAGCAAGTTTGGAACACCTCAAGCTCTGCAGTCTTTGCCTAAGAGCTGATTGCTGTCAGCAGTTTTATGATGATATTGATTTTTTTCATGCCATAAATAATAGTCTCAAATTATACTTGTCTAAATTTATTGAGGTAGGAGTAACTTATAAAATAGGAGCTGTTAGTGTAAGAGATGTCTTGCACAGAGTTTAGCTAGACATTAACACTCAATTAGCCTTTGAAACTCAAACCCTTAGCTGCCAAGTAGAAGAGGGGTTGAGGAATTGATTTTGGATTTGATGGTCTGTTTAATGCAGTTGTGGAAACCCTACCAGAAGCCAATGCCCAGTTACTGCAGAAGAACTTCCTCTGTTAATTAGCCCTGTCTCCTGTGGAGGGTTACACTGGATCAGGGCTGTGGGGGCAGCAGTCCTGCCTCATCATCAGGAGAGGAGACTTTTGGACAGGGCTTGGGGAAGGTTCAAGAGCAGGTTTTCCCCTGGCTGCAGTGGCAAGGGAACACGTGAGAGAAGAATATCTGCCAGAATATCTGAGGAACTGGGTGACTGAGGGCACCACAGCAGCCCTTCTTCATCTGGGAGAGGGCTGCTCTAAAAAAGGCCATTTTCCAGGGCACTCTCAATTACCTGAAGAGGCTCCAACAGTCCCTGAGTGTAAGACAAGGTCAGAAGAAGGCAGAATGCAAATTATCATCAGATGAAACCAGGATGAGCACATTACCCTGAGAACGGCTTTCTCCCCTCACTGCGTCCTCAGGGTGCCTCGTTATTTCATGTACTCTCTGCCCTTTATATAGAGAACAGCCTAATAGCCCGTTCAGCCTGCCATTTTCCCCCTTGGAGAGGACAGATGATGAGCAGTAAATGCTGGCCAAGCAGTCAGTTGCTCCCCTTTTTGACCCCACAGGGGCCCCTGCTGTCCTTCCTTACAGGTCCTTCCATTGGGGTTCCGCTGCTGCCACCATCGATTTCCCCACACCCACCCCCATGGCTGCTGTGTCTGTGCTCTCTGAACAATGCAGGACTGCAGCACCTCTGAATAATTTGTCAGGAGAATCATGTGTGTGTTGGGAATACACAGCCTGTGAGATAGGCCTGTGTGATGTGAAGCTCTGGCAGCAGCGCCCGCTCCCTCCCTGCAGGGCGGTTTGAGGAGATGCTCCCATGGGGCTGATTTTGTGCATGAACCTGTTGGTGTGGATGCAGCACTGAATGACTGCAGTTCTATTAATTCTGAGGACACCCTGAGCTTACAAACCATTTAGTTTGATTTGTATCAGATTAAGAAAGTGAACTAATGAGCAGTGTGGACCCAAGCTGGCTCAGATGTCTGTTCCAGCATCTGTGGATCTCTGGATATCAAGTCAGGGTGGTGAAGGGAGCAGCACGAGCTTCTTGCACAGAACCAGTGCAGGTCCAGTGGGGCCAGGGCTGTGTGTCACATAACCAATCCTGATCTAGCTGGAGCAATTTGGTTCTTGAGATATGTTTCTCTGGTGCTTTAATTGGGATTTTCATTTTCCCAGTCCCCTGTTATCTGTGCATGTTACAGGTCTAACACAATCCTTTCCACCTGAGAGTGTGATCTGAAAGGTGTTTAGCTAAATTTTCTGTGCCTCAGCAAACTACACTGTTGTGAGCCTTTGCTTAGCAAGTACAAAAAGCCCCTCTGTTTTATTTTTGTTAATTTTCCTGACTTGCTGAATTTCTGCCATTCAGTTTTCTGGGTGCTGATCAATTGCTCTGAAGCACACATAAGGATTAAACACATTTGCTCATCCTGCCTTGGGAGGGCTGAGTAGTAGGATGTGTAAAACAAGGACCTTTTATTTACTCACTCAGATCCTGGGAGCAAGGCTGGCCCCTTTTCTTCCAGTACAATACAAGTTTTCTGGTTGGTTGTTAGTTCCTCAGGGATCATGGCCCTCATTACAGAGCCCTCATGAGACTGCTGTGAGGCTAAAATTCAGTTTGTAAGACTCTTTGAGACCTTGAAGGAGAAGAAAATAGCATTACTACACTATTGAAACTTAAAACTGTTAAGCAGTGTTAGAGGCTAAGCTAGATAAGTGATACCTCAGGGACTGCAAGTTGTGTCTAAGATGACACCAGGTTGTAGAAGAGGCATTATATTATCAGATTGTCTGCTTATGCAAATGAAATTATGGAAGAAAATAACTTCTAGAAAAATGTGTTTTAAGCCTGTTTACTATGCAACCTTCACTGCTGGGACTGGCATCGTGAGGCTGTCAGGGGACTTGTGGAAGGGAAGAGTTGAAAGTAAAGCTGCTCAACTTCCATCAAAGGCTTAGACAGAGCATTTTTATTTGTGTAATTATAAAGTTTTCAGTCAAAACCATTTTTGACTAATGCTTGGGTCAACTCTAGACATGTCAAAGGTCTTTTGTAGGAACAAAGCTCACTGAATAATTTAGTGAGGAAGGGAAACTCCTGCCTTTATCTCAGAGACAGCTCTGGGAATTAAAAACAAGCCACCAAAGACAAAAAAATTGGAAATTAATATTATAATATTGCAGCATTCACATGCCTCTTTCCAGTCAGGAGTGCTGATTTGTATTTTTTACTTGTTACCTTTGTGTTTTCAATGCCAAAGTTCTTGTGATTTGGTCGACTAGTTTGCACAACATCCAATAGTAGAGCTGTTTCTTTGAATCAAAAGTATGTCTCCAGGTCTGCTGAATAATAAAGAGGATATATACTTTTATGTCATGGATACTTCAACTTTGCTTTATTAACAAAGGTTTTATTTCCATTTTTGGTTTCCAGCCATAACACAAAAACAACATCTTGGCTAGATCCACGGTGCCTGAACAAACAGCAGAAGCCTCTAGAAGAATGTGAAGATGATGGTAAGAGACGAAAAATAGTGACATAATACTGTGTTTGGTCCATTCCTAGGTGACTTTTTTCCTTTTCCTTCTCTCTTTCTAGTAACTAGTATTCAGAAATTTCAAAAATTTTAAAAATATTTTTCAGTAAGTACAAAGAGACAATATCCATAATGTTGTAAAATCGCTGTGAATGTAAAACAGCCATTGAGGTGCCAGATCATTTAATAAAAATCAAGGAGGTGCTGCAAGTAAGTTTTTGCAAAGGCATTTGAAGAGCCACTGATGCTGAACAAGACTCAAAGCTGTCTGACATGTTTGCTTCTTGGATCTCTGTGTGGGAGGGAGTGACTGAGTCTCTGCGTGCTCCGCTGTGTTCCGCTTCAACCACCTGCTTCAAGTGGATTGAGAGAGTTATGTTGCTGTTTCCTTGTTTGAGCAGAAATAACTCAATTGCTTCACTTGTGCTGTTAAATGCTGACAGTCTGTGCCGTGTTGTGATTGCTGAAACGAGTTCTGTTTGAAAGTGTAGGTTTCTGACACTGAAAATTTGCACTGAGATTTGGTATTCCTTGAGATGTTGGAAATGCAAGCCACTGTCCTATTTAGAGCAGCCAAATGCAGGACTGTTAAAGGAGGTCCCTTCCTGGCCTCTTTAATGAGATGTTGGAAGAAAAAGTGAGTCATGAAAATAACTTAAATATTTGGGAAAACCTGTGAAGGAATTTTGGTCTACTGACCGAGAAAGGTGATGGAATTGAAATTGGCTAATACAGGCCTGTCATGGTAGACACTTCTTAAAAGTGGGTTTCCTTCATCAGTGTTGGTGCTGTCCTTATAAAATCAGTTTTCATAATACAATGAAACGCCTACTGGTGTCAGTCATCTTAATAAAAATCACAATTTTATTTCAGAAAAGAATCAACTCAATCCCTTTTCACTGTTAGGTTCAACTCTGGCCTCCAGAACTGCTGGTAACTGTTTTTACACATGTAGTAGTGTTTCACCCTCTCCTATCTTTCACTTGTGAGATTTTGCAGGGTGTGAGAATTTACCTCTGCAGTCTAGGCTGCTGTGATGAAGCAGGTCACTAACTTGCCAGAGCACAGTGCAGGATACCCTCAAACCACAGGGATGTGCCAGGCAAGGAGCACCCAGCACCACAAGGCTTTAGAGGGTGACTGAGCTCCTCTGTTACACAGTTTGAAGTCTCCTCGCAGAAGGGAAAGTCTTTCTCTTGTCCTCTTAGCAATTATAAAGCAAACATTGGAATAATTTGTTTAATTTGGAATAGAAACATACAGCTGGTATTATTGTATTTCATTGAGTTCATCATTTTGGAGAGTAGTGGCATCTTTGTTTATCAACTCCTTAAAATCAGCTAATTTCATCTTCCCACACACCCCTTCACTTCATTCACCAAGTTGCTCATTAATGGATATTTTTAACATTCACTAGTTTAACCAGTTGCTTCATAGTTACAGTAGTGCTCTGCAATGCTTTGCTTGGCTGCTCTAATCTTGTTTAGCACATAAGAATAATTATGTTTTAAAAAACAGGGAGGAGAGAAGGTTAGTTAGGTTAGTTTTGCTTTGTCGTAGAAGCTGGATGGTTTTTGGCAAGGGTCACTGTTGTGTGTCATTCCTTAAGAGTCAGTGGGATGACTCCTCTGTTTTGTTTGGTGTGTGTGTGTGCGTGTGAGTTCCCAGGCTCATCCAACCCTCTTTATAGATTTTATAAATATTAGATATTGTTTCAGATTTGTTTGGGTGCAGTTAGTTGCCTTGTGCTTTTGTTTCATCAGGCTACGTGTCCTTTTTTACTTGTTTCCCACTGTTTAGGCTATCAAAGGAAATTGCAATTAGTATTTCACACTAATGGTCCAAAACAACTGCTTTGATAGAATATTTTGCAAAGAGATCATGGAAGTAGTTTTTTGGGTGTCCAGATGTTTCAACCCCACAACCTCTGTTTGCTTCTGTCATTCATTATGTGGCTTAAACTTTGCTGTACTGGGTCCAAGATTGTTTTTACCATCTTTGTTCTGGTTTTGTCACCATCTTTCATTTTCAGACTGCATTATTATTATTTATAGGCCAAGCAATACTTTAATCATCTGTGTCACTGTTAACTTATGAATATGGAGCAGATAATGATAAATGGAGCAACAGTGAATATTGATGGCTTTGTGTCTTTGAAAAATTATGTGATCTTTGTCCCAGGTGCCCTGCTAAAACTGGTGCATTCCTGTCTGTGCCTCACCAGTGCATCTGGACTGGGGGTCTGTGCCTCCAGTTAAACAAGGCTTCATGCCTGTCTAAATCATCTGAGTAGGACGGTGAAGTCTGCTGGACCTTGTGCGCACATAAATTTAGATGCTTTCTTGAAAACCTTGCTACATTAGTTCCTTGTTTAGGTGCAAGGTTTTCCTCTCAGATTCCTTCATTAGTATCCAGATCTGGCCTTCTGATAGATCCATGTGTCTGTAGAACAGATTGCAAAGGTTGGACTGTAGGATCTGAGGGAAAAGCCTCACTACAGTGAGAACATCACAATTTCATGACTTTGCCATATCAAACCATGACATGGAAGTAGTCCATTGATGAAGATGTTTTGAGAGTGCAAGAACCACTTTTTTCATTATCTGCATCAGATCCATCAATATTCTGATCACTGGAGCGTGCTAAATGGGAAGCTTGGGCTTGGTGTGTAGAAAATTAGTGCTGGTTCTGCTGTTTGCTCTAGGGAATTTCTTGCTTGGGGCTGGTATCTGAAATTTTCTTTTAATTTTTTCTGTCTCATTTACTGCTCTTCCCTTGGAGAAGAAGGGGTGCACACGGAGGAACTGGACAGTGAACTAGGTAAATCATCCATCTCTCATTTTGATATTTGACTTCAACTACACTGTTTTGAGCCTTTAATTACTTACTTTCTCCTTTGTATCATTTTGCATCTTTAGGTTTTGGTTTTTTTTTTTATTTCAATAGGAGTAATTTATCAGCAAAACTTCCCCAGCACACAAAGCATTTATCTTTCCCTAGCTTCAGATCTGTAGTGCTTTTTTTACTGATTCAGAGTTTGAAGAAAGCTAGAGATCCCCAATCTTGCAAAGTTGTTTCGAAGCTGCTTCCTCCTGGACTCTGCAGAAGTTGGGATCTTTTCCTTTGGCATTTCTGGCTCCAGGAAAAAGCTCATAGATGCCAAAGATGAAATGAAGTAGCTTATGATGCTTTTTCACTGGGGCCCAAGACATTTCCCAGACAATAGAAGCTAAATGTGATTCAGAAAGTTTAAGTATTACATCGGATGCTTCAGCTGAGCTCGTGAATGAAACAGCTTAAAATTTTCCCTCAGTCAGTGATTTTATAAACAGATGATTTTCAGTGATGTGGTACACTTTTATTTGCTGCATCTCTTTGTGAAGGATGCTGTCTGGATATCTAATCTCAGCAGTGCTCATTGTGTTTATACTGATGGCAGAGGTAGTTGTTATTTCTGTTCAGCTATGCTCTAGTGCACTCGCAGAGCTGAAGGGATAAGAGGTTGCATAGGATTTTATTTCCACCAGGACTATTATTGCTTTTTAAAAGGACTGTAGTTACAGTTCATAGTTCTGCATACTGGAGGAATTGTATTACCAGAGAATTAAGCTCTGGTTTCTGTAATGACTTGCAAGGAAGTGTATTCTGCTCCCTGCCTCTGGGTGACGGATTCGGCATCAGCAGCCAGCAGTGGACTTGGAACGCTGCTCCACGAATGGTTCTTCTGAATAATATTCCTGGAATAAAATGCCTAACTTCTCATAGAGCAATTTGAAAGAAATGACAATTTAAAGAAGAATGCAGTCTCTTTAGTGGTCCATGAGTGTTATGTGCAGTTTGCACAAATGATCATCAGCAGACCAAGTAGCATCAGAAGTAGGTGGATGCACATCAACAATCTGCAAAGAGTTCTCACTAAGGTCTTCACAACCAGTGACTTAAAATGAGAGGGAGGTTTTAAAAAAGCAAACATAGAGGCAATATTAAACAGAAATTACCCTTCTTTCAGTCTGCTCTCAGAAACTAGTGCAAGAGCAGAGCTGAAAAAAATAGATGCAGGAAAACTCATTCATTGATAAGCCTGACCCCAAATCTGCAGGCACTTACATACACAAGTGTTCTGCTCCAACATCATGAGATTTTCCTTTTGTTTCAGTGCAGATAAGCTTTATTGAGCTCACAGCCCATCAATATCCTGTTGTGATGTGCAAATGTTGCAGTGTAAAGAAAGACATTTCCAAATTACTCAATTGGTTACAGCAACATTAAGGAGAGGGCATGAAAACTTAGTATAGTTATAGTAACTCAGGTCAGTAAAAACTGGTTGGCAAGGCCTATTTAGTGCCTTAACTTATCAACAGTTTCTGTTCTAAATATCAGAAGATTAAGACTTGAGGCATTTCCACAACTTCTTGTTTTCCAATGAGCTGTGGAGTAATAGGTCACTGCATTTTAACAGAGGGCTGTTCTTCAGACACAAAAATTTAACCTATAAAGCAGAATTTGACATGGCTTGGACCAACCCTCCTGGCTTCACAGGGAGCAGTAAGAGCTGAGTGTGCTGAGCTCCTCTCCAGCTCCTTCACAGTCGTGCATGGCTGCAGCTGAAATACCTGGTGGCTAGAGAAGTCATTTTTTAGGAATCCATCCAGCCCTTCTGTATGTAGGGCAGAATACTAGAGCATCTCAACAGGATATCCATGTGCTTATCCAAGGCTTAAAATTGTGGTATTAGATATGTGTCCATTGAATTTACCCACCTACTGATACATGCTCTGAGACTGCATTGGTGCTGCATGGATGTACCAAAATAAAAACCATATGGCTCACTATGGCTCCTAATGATGCGAAATGCTTTTTGAAATCTCATATTTGTGATAAAATCTAATGCTCTGGGTCATCTTCAGTTTGGCAGGAGAGATAAAGAAAGGAGATGAATAATTTAAAGCAGCTGAGAAACTAGACTGCAGCATGGCTATGGAGACTATTGTCTTTTACTTTAGAGAACTTCTGGAAGCTTGTAGGAGTCGAAAAGTGCATCTACATAATCATCAAGAAATGTGTTAAAAGCTGCAGTTTTGTATATTGTTATATCTGAAAACATGGAGATTTGTTCCTTTGAAAAAGCTGCAGAGATAGTAAACTGGAAAGATTTTGGCGTAGTGCAATTTTTGGGGTTAGTAAAGTGCTGGTATTCTGATACTTTGTGAAAATACTTTAAATGGGAAGAAAAAAAAAGAAATTAACTATCGAAACCTTTTGTGAGCAGGAGAAAGAAAACAATTTTTTTTTTGCTTAAACTTTAAAAATAAAAAAGCACTTAGCAGTGCAAAACAGACAAAAGATATTTAGCATGAGAACTGCTGGAACTCATTCGAAGGCATTTGTGCATCACTTCTCCTTTCCCTCATTGACTTTTTATTTTTCTTTCACCCCAGCTTGATCTCTTTACCATTCTACCTTCACCACGGTCAACAACCTAAATGGATACAACAGCTTGTGATTTTCCCAACTGCATGCTAGGTTGTAATTGAATCACAGTGAAACTCTTGGAGCCATTCCCATGGTGCTCTCACCTTCTGGGACTCCTCTGCAAACCTGAGAGTTCCCTTTGTGAAAACACTTTCCAGATTGGCCTCTAGCCTTCTGACATTTTCTCAGATAAACTTGCAGGGTGTAAAGGAATATCTAATTCTGAAGTGTTCAATCTCTGCTGATAAAAACATGGAGTTTTTTCATGCCCAGAAGTTAGCATTGGCTTGCATTTAATGGCTTATGTCTCAAGGAATCCAAAGATGTTAAACACAATGAGGATAAAATAATGATAAGAATGGAAAACCTACCTTTTATCTGCAATTAAGGGACATGTGGAGCAAAACCTGTGAAAGTTGATTTCATCTGATCTCCAGCCAATTCTGAACACAAACATAAACTTTGAGTAATTAGTCTATGTGTGTTTGTATAGATTCTGTTCCTCTCCAGTCTTGAGATATTTCTATCCTTATGGCAACATTATTCTAATTAATGGGCCATTGTTGATTCTATTGGCTCAGCAATTGATGCCATTAATGGAAATAAATCTCTGCATTTGATAATGAGCAAACACAGATTACTGTCGGTGTTGACAAATTTCATGTTAAATTCTGACAAATTACTTTGCATGAGCTATTTGAACTTGTATTATCCAACAGTGTTGGGTTTTTTCTATATTTAAATGAATGGTGGGTCCACATGTGCACAGTCCATAGTGTGGTGGAGGTTTAAATGAGTGGCACGAGGATCAGGCCCTTAAGTAACACATACAGCTTTAATAACCCTGTTGGATGCTGAAGTGATTGCATTGCATTCACTAATTACAGTTAAAGTACTGTCTGCAGCCTAGAAAATCAACAGGAACAAAAGCAGATCCAGTTAAAAATGTTAATTTCATCTTCAGAACAGTTTTTTGTCAATTATGGTAATGAAAGGAAGGAAATCTCTGTTCCATGTGACTGTGGCAGTGTGTGTTCTTACATGAAGTGTTGTGCAATGAAATGCACCCATGTGCCAGCCCCTCCTGGGTGGGTTCCTGGGTGGGCATACATGTTAAATCCACCTTGTCCTGGTTTTGTGTTGGGCTCATGGCTGAGCACTGCAAATCCCAATGAAGAGTAAAAAAATTCCTCATTTCTGCAATGGTGAGCATAAATGGCTCAGCCCTGGTACAGGAGGTGGAAGTAGTCCCTGTCAGTGTTTTTGCCATAGTCTCACCCACCTTCATGGGTTGGTGCTGAAATCCCCTGGCCTTTCCTGCATTGATTTCCCCTGCAGTGCTTCCTCCAGGGCCACTGGCCATGGTGGAGGAACCAAGGGGGCACTTGAGGCAGTCCCAGACAGGAAATTTATTGAGCATTTGCTCATTTAATGCAAAAAGCAAATCAAACATTGACCAGTGTGGGCATTTCCCAGTGATGACCCAGCACAGGGGGCACAGGCTGGGGTGTTGTGCCAGCCCTCCAAAGGGGGCTGTGATCCTTCTGAAAAGTACCCAAAGCAAGGCCTGATCTACTGATGAGTTTTGCACGTTGGGCAGGAGCAGCTGCCTGTCAGAAGAAACCTGCCCTGGAGGCTTCAGTAATGCTTTTTCTATTTCCAGAGTTGCCTGCTGGTTGGGAGAAAATAGAAGATCCTGTATATGGTGTCTACTATGTAGAGTAAGTGCTGCTGCCTGCTCTGCTGGGGCTGCTGGGGGGAGGAGGGGTCCCTGCACCCAGCCTGTGCTTTGCTGGTGACACCTGAGACCAAGGAGGAGGAGCAGGAGGAGACCCTGGCCCAGGACAGGCTGGGGGATGTCACAGGGTCTGGGAGAGGGCAGCCCTGTCTGGCCATTCCCCAGCCACCCCAGAGTGGGCTCAGGGGACACAGGAGTGCCCTGGAAGGGGTTAAGCTCAAAGAAGGCAGGAGCAATCTGGGATGTGAGGAGCCCCAGCACCTCACAAATTATAATGTTCTATCCAGAGAACATTAGTGAGTGTGCATTTAGCTGAGTTTGGTGGGCTTTGTGCAGCCCTGTGGTCACAAAATGAGTGTGCAAAGCAATCCACCAGCCAGCTGGGTCAGAAGATGCTCAAAAGGAGGATTGGAGAAGATGGTGTGACCAAACAGCCATGGCAGAGGCTCTTCCATCAGGCTGTGTGACAGTGAATGGAATTACAGGTTTAATGGGACTCCCTGTGGAATTAGAGCAGCTTCTCCTTTATCGACATGTCGGATTGCTCCTTTGGGAAACCAGAGATCCCAGTTCTGTTTCATCACTGACCCCATAAAATGAATTTTTAATTATGTGTACACTCCTGTCTAGTAGGATGGCTTATGATAGCCCTCAGAGTAGACATGGAATACAGTTTCTGTCTGCTTTGGCTCATTTCTGACCCTACCATCTGTGCCTAGGGAAACAAGGTTAGCAAACTGTGTAATTAAGGCTTGACATTTATTTACCAAAGACATCAAGAATATTTTTCAGCTATTAAATGCCATGCCAAGAGATCTTTACAGGATATTGTCCTGTCACTTTATATACACATGCCTGTTAGTTTTGTGGCACTCCTTACTAATGGAATTAAATCAAAAAGTAACTTCAATGAGGCAATAATTTTATTTTACTTGCTGTCTCTAAGCTAGCATGATGGTTGTGATTTTAGCATTTGTCTCTGTCCCTTCAAATCAGGCACTTTGTTATTACATAATAGTTTTTATTGAGAGACAATTGTATCATGAAAAAGTTTATATCATTTTTAAACTAGTTATAATTTTTTCTTGGCTCTCCAAAGATATCTTGAAATGGGAAATCTTTTTCAGTGAGTGAGTTAGAGCTCACTTTCAGTGACGTAGACCTCACTAACTTGTTTTTTATTTAGTAAGTTAAATATTTTTCTAGTGATTTAATATTGATCTTTAACAGAAAAATTTCTGAATGTAAATCCCTGGAGTGCTTCTGTCACAATTACTAGAAAATATGGTTGGTTTTCATGTGGGTTTTTTTATAAAGCCATACTGGATAAGAGACAGTATAATAGCTATTACTCTTAATGGTAAACTTTGCTTTGTATACAAATATAGGCTTTAAGGTAATATATTTTTTGAAGTCTACCTGTTCCTCTGCTGTAGCAAAATCTCTACTGAAAATGGCTCTTGAGCAGTTGGTGAGCCATTCAGGGAGTCCCAGCCCTGCCCTGCCACCCCAGCATCTGTGGCTGCTGTCCTTCACTTGGTTTCATAAGGTGGTGAATCCTCTGTTGAGTGCATGCCTTGTGTGCTGTGATGGGACTGGGCTCATTATTTTTTCTTTTCCTGGAACTGGTACAAAATATTGGCTCTCAACATCTCATAGTGCTCAAAAGCTGCCTGAGGAAAGCAGCTGAAGTTGCACTAAATGCTGGTTTCCCCTGGGAGTATTTGCTGGTGGCTGATTCTGGATAGATTTTGATCCATTTGGAGCCCAGCTCATAGCCTGCATCCCTGCAGGTATTTTTAAGACACCCTGTGTGCATTGATCAGATTGCTGACAGATGTTGGGGTTTGTTTTGCTTTGTTTTGTTTTTAACTTGGGTGAGCCAGGAAATGACTGCACCTCTGGGAATCTGATTAAAGCAGGGATGATACAGGCCTGTCTTTTAAAATGCAATCAGACAGTATGCCTTTCCTGCTTTAGTCTCATTTTTCACAGAGAGATCACTACTTTAATGTATTTGAAGGAATTACCCATCCCTACTCGAGACATCATATCAATACCAGAATCTGCTTGTTTTTCTAAATACTCTTTTTGGATGAGCCTTGTTCCACACCCACTGCTGTTGGGTTTGTTTGGGATTTTACTCCTTCCCTCAGAAAGAGGATTTGGAGTGCCTGGCCCTCATTCCTGCCTGTTGCACCAAGGGTTTCCCTAATTCATGGCTCTCTTCCATCTCCAGCCACATCAACCGGAAGACACAGTACGAAAACCCAGTCCTGGAAGCCAAGAGGAAGAAGCAGCTTGAACAACAGCAACAGCCTCCAGAAGGTTGGCACCCTTGAGGGCATGGTGGGTGGGGTGTTCATGGGGGAATGTCCTCCCTGACATCCTGCCAGTGTTTGTCCTTCCCTCCATGGCCTTAGGGTGGAAAGGCAAAGTGATGTGCATGGCAAAGGCTCTGTCTGTCCTGCACAGAAGATGCAGCAAAGGAGGAAATCTAAGCTGGATCACTTAAGTGTAGAAGGTTTCTATCTTGTTAAACAGGAGAGATTTTCCTTTGTATGTCCTTTGTTTCTGGAACGTTTCTAGACTTCCCAGAGACAGCTAAAACACATTTTCCTCTTCAGTCTGCTCCATCAAGTCAGTCCCTGTAGCTGGTGTTGTTCCAGTCTGCACTGGGACTCAGGCTGTCAGAGGGGATGAGGAGTGGGCTCTTACATGCACCAGATAAACCCTGCATGAGAGATTTCTTAAACCAAGACCTTTGTATGTTGTCAGGCTCTAAAATCTGAAGTAATTTCCTTATTTTGAAACACTTTTAAAAAATTGTTTTCCTACCTCTCGGCCCCTTTTTTTTTTCTTTCTTTTTAATTTTTTTCTTCAAATTTTTCTTCTTCTGCAGTGAGGGCCCTGTGGCATTTGGGTTTGTTCTTCCACTTAGAAGCCATGAGTGGCACAGGGAGTAGATTTCAATTTCATGTCAAGTCCACTTAGATGCAAATCACATCCCAAGTTTCAGTGTGAGATAGGATGTTCCAGCAGATGGATCAGTTGACCTGGATATAGAGATCCTTCAGAACTGGTTTTTGGCCATCCCATTCATTGCATTCCCTCTGTCTGTGACTCTGTTTCCTCTCTTGCCATGCTTCTCACCTCTCCTCTGCTTGACCTCCACACTCCCAGCGTGTGCACATGCAGCAGCTCTGGGTGCTGTTGTGAAACCAGTAACATTTCCCTCTCTGCCCTCTCTAGAATGGACAGAGGAGTGTCCATCTCTCCCTCCACCTGCTGCTCCAAACCATGTTTCAAACAACCAAGAGGCAGCTCGGGAAGCACCTGTACAAGGTAACAGCCTTGTTAAACCAGTTGGAAAAGAGCAACAAGGTTTTTTTTCCTGAGAATTCCCTCAGCTACCACAAGGGCAGTATTTCCAGGACTGGTGACACACCAGGCCCTGTGCCTGCTTATCTGAATTCCCAGATTTTGAGACTAGTTTATTCCAAGACTACATTTGTTGCTGAGTGCAAGAGGTGAATGAGATTTGATGCACACATCAAAAAGAGGATTGTGGCTGTTCTCTGTGTAGTGTTCCAAGTTTTCAAACACAGTGGGCTTACTCAGAAGTTGTACTTTTGTACAGGTACTCTGGGCTATTACAGCCTTATTTATTGTGTCAGTGGTCACAGACCAGTTGTTTGCCTTAAATAACTCACCAGACAGGACATGAATCATTCCTGAATTTGCAGCATGAGCTGAAACATTGCCAGGTCAGGTCAGCAGCAAGGGCAGGGAGTTCCACTTGTACCTGTGGCAGTAAAGTGCTCTCTGGTTACAAGTGGTTGTAAGTAGGCTTAGTTTTGACTACATCTGAATTGCATAGCAAGTGAGTGGCATTGCCCTGGTCTGCAGGAGCCAGAGCCTGGGGAAGGTGAGAGGGAATCTGGCTGGAATGCACCTTCCTGACAAAGCTGGGAGCAGCAGGAGGTGCTCCCATGGTCTCTGAAGGCAAACCTGACTGGAGTGCTGCTGTCCCAGGTAGCCTTTCCTGCCAGGAAAAGCCAGGAAGTGCTCTCTGCTGAAGATCAGCCCTTCCAAAACAGCTGTGGAATTTCACAGGACCCAAATGCCCCAGCACAGTCCTAAGGGGTATTAGAGTACATTAGAATAATCCAGCCTGGTAACAAGGAAAGAAACATGGGAGGTCTGAGGCTGGCACCCTGACCAGCTGGCACCTGAGTCATCAGAGTGCCCCAGAAATGCTGATCTGCCTCCTGGAGGCCTCTGTGGATGCCACCTTTGCCTTTCCCACAGTCAGGCTGAAGCAAGGGCTGCCCAAGCATCCACACATGGCAATGCAAAGGAGCTGTCACTCAGGGCTGATGTTGGGAGCTCAACATCACCCAACAACTCAGCCACCAAAGCTGTGCAGCAGTGTTAGAGCAGGGCATTAACCTGTCTCAGCATTAACCACTCTGAATGACGTGCCCTGGTATCTGCTGATGATTCCTCCCCTCTTTCATTCCTTCCTCTTCCTTTCTCAGTGCTGCTCCCTCTTCTCTCACTCCCCATTTGCAGCAGTTTCCATGCCTGGAGGTTTCCATCTCTCCCCCTGATGGCACTGCTGGCAGGGACGTGGGCACAAGGAGCCCTCCCTGTGCCCCTGGCAGCACTCTCACAGCCTGGGTTTTGTAGATAGACTCATTTCAAATGTGAGTTCTGTGGGTGGGATGTAGCCTGTGGTGCTGCTGGGCAAGCTCAGCCTGTGTCTGTGGGCAGACACCAGCAAGCTCTGCTTGTTCTTCTTGTCCTTTGAACCAGAAGTGAGCCCTGCTGCACTCTGCCTCTCAGCTGTGTGTGTTACCTGAGACACTGGGTTGCCCTTTGATATTCAGGGCTTTTTTTGCAGGCTGGGGTCTGAGCAGACCATCTCCCCACGATGTGCGGGATTTCCATGTTCCACTGCCACCCTTCAAAGGCAGAAAACTATGAGTCCTCACACTGCCTCCTCATGAATAATCTTCAAATATACATTTTTTCCTCCCAGTCAAAGGCTTACAAATCTCAAATCCCCTCGCTCTCCCCCGAGGTCTCCTTTCTGAGCAGAGGCCCACAGCAATGCTGCCGAGGTGTTTGAAAGAGAGCCAGCTCTGCTGGCTGTGATACCCACTGCTGATCCCAGAGTTGTCACCAGAGGGCTTAGTGGCACAGGCTAAGCGTTAAAAACAATTAAAAGTGCAAAGGTGTTTAGTGTTGGCACTGTGAAGTGCAGCAGCCCTGATCCCTTTGCTGAGCCTGTGCAACATGCTTTGCAAAGTTGTGCTTTTGTCCATGGAGCACCTCTTTCCCTCTTAACTGTGCTCCCAGAGAGCATTCCCAGCCCTCCAGCACAGCTGCTCTGGTCCTGGGCTGCTCTTTGATTCAAACTTCACACCAGCAGTGTTTCATCCACAACAGGTAAGGAGCAGAAAGGGAAAAGGCTTCAAACAGTGTCTGAAGAACAACATCAGCCTCCTCCTCTTTTCTCCAGTGGAGGTCACAGGGCAGTAGCCATGGTGGGGCTGGGGGTTATGCTAAAGGGTATCAGTGTCTTATCAGAGCTCAGAATTTGCTTTTTGTTCTGTGGGTTGGGAGAAAGTCAAGTGGTGAAAAACATAATGATGCTTCTCTCTGCAGAAACTCTCACTGCAGACTCCAGTAGGAGGCCTCCTAACCCTGCCCCATCCTTCCCAGGATGGATACAACACCTCAGGACAGAGATGAGACACACATCCAGCCCAGCATCCCTAGCTTTAACACATTCCACTCTTTAAAGCAGCATGTTTTCCCTTTTGTAGCCTTGGGGCTTTGGTGAGCATGACCAAAGGTAACAAAGTGCCAGGTGCTGGGGTTTTGTTCACATCTTTTACTGCATGCCTGGATCCAGGGAGACAGGCTGAGTGTGATGAGATGAGAGGCTGCAGGAGTGAAGTGCAGTCCTGTCCCTGCACACTGCTGTGTTTGTCCATGGACTCCTTGCAGTGGGGAGGGGCAGAGGAAAAAGAGATCAAACACTCTTGCCTGCCTGCTTATAGATTTTTTTCCAAACTTCCTACACAGGAAAACCTTTTTTTACACGAAACCCTTCTGAGTTGAAAGGGAAGTTCATCCACACCAAGCTAAGGAAAAGCAGCAGGGGGTTTGGCTTCACCGTCGTTGGAGGAGATGAGCCAGATGAATTCCTCCAAATCAAAAGTTTGGTGCTTGATGGTCCTGCAGCGCTGGATGGCAAAATGGAAACAGGTACTGATGCTTTATATCAAAATCACCACTACCACTTTGGTTTGTGTTTTTGCAGCTGGTTTCAAGTGCTGTTCATAAAGGACTGTAGTCTTCATCCCCTTCTTGGGGAAAGGCATTCAGCTTTCCTCTCGGTAAGCAAGGAAGTGAAATACATTGAGGAATATATCCAGAATCTTGGAAAAGGACATTTCATGTATTGGAATTCCATCTCAGTGTCAAAATACCAGCTGGGACACTGCCAGCCCCTGCTCTCCCCACACTGATCTGAGGAGAGGAGCCAGCAGTTGTGGGGTTCCACATCAGGCTATGGGTTCCTGCTCCCTGCTGTGGATGATGGATTCTTGTAGGGCTGCACCACCTTGTGTTTGTGTCTCTGCCATGCTGCTTGCCTCTTTGCAAAGCTACTCCCAAGGAATGGGCAGAGCAGTAGTCTAATCTGCAACTTGCCTGTGTGGAGGCACCAAGGGCAAATTCATTTTGCTGGAGATCAGGTCCACCACAATTTAGTTGCAAAATATGAAATATGGTTTATGGTTTAGTGGTGAGCACAATGTTGCTGGGTTAATGGTTTGACTCAATGATCTTGGAGGTAGTTTTCCACCTTGATTCTATGAAATTCTCTCAGGCTTCATCTGAGGTCACAACTCCTCACTTTCAGCTGGAGCATCACAGCACTTAGCATCCCTATTTTGCAGCCCCAGTGTTAATAAAGTGACTCGTAACTTTATCAATATCTGGATTTCAGGCTGAAGTATGAGACATGACATGTGGCACTCACTGTGTCTGAGCAGTTGGTATTTGAGAGCCTTCTGTTACAGCTCCCATGTGCTCTCAGTTTTGTTTCTGTCATATGTCAACGTGTAACAGTGAGAGCTGGACTTCAAAATAGCTGTGAAATGGGCCATATTACCAGCATTTAAATTTGTTAATTTTTTGCATGAGCCAATTCCATTTTCACTTCCAAAAACATTAATGTACATAAAGGCTTTATGCCACGAATCCACAGAGTTTTTGCTCGCCCAAGTGTCACCGCTCTGTGGCATTCACATTCTCTGAACATGATTCCTTCACCCAGGGTTTTCCTCCTGGGAAGCTGAAAGGCAGAGAGAGGCCTCAGAGAAAAGAAAAACAATTCTTATCTCATTTGCTTCTCCTGTCTTGTGCTCATGTGGAATGTGTTTGGGGATTGTTTACCCACAGGTGATTGTTTCATTGGATTCTGGTGTGAGTTGTTTTGACTCATTGGCCAATTAGGGCTGTGTCAAGACTCTGGAAAGAGTCACAAGTTTTGATTATTATCTTTTTAGCATTGAGTATCTTTTCTGTATTCTTTAGTATAGTATAGTACTCTTTGATATAATATAGTATAATAAAATAATAAATTAGCCTTCTAACAACATGGAGTCAGATGCATCGTTCCTCCCTGCCATGGAGCTTGCTGTGAATTTACAATATCACTCCTTTTTCTTTTGCTGAAATGCTGCTGTTGCCTGTGAGTGGTAGCTGTGGGTGCTGCAGATCTGCTCTCAGGCTCTGGCCCTCCCCTTCCTGCAGTGCACAGAATGTATTTCCTTGGTCTGTCTGTCTGTGTCCGCCGCAGGGGACGTCATAGTCAGCGTGAACGACACCTGTGTGCTGGGGCACACTCACGCCCAGGTGGTGAAAATCTTCCAGTCCATCCCCATCGGAGCCAGCGTGGACCTGGAGCTGTGCCGGGGCTACCCCCTGCCCTTCGACCCCGACGACCCCAACACCAGCCTGGTCACATCCGTGGCAATTTTGGACAAAGAGCCCATCATCGTGAACGGGCAGGAGAACTACGACTCCCCGGCGAGCCACAGCAGCAAAACAGGGAAAGTGAATGGCACAAAGGAGGCCAGGCCCAGCAGCCCGGCCGAGGTCTCCTCCAATGGACCCCACGGCTACCCCAACGACACGGTGTCCTTGGCATCCTCCATAGCCACGCAGCCTGAACTCATAACTGTGCACATAGTGAAAGGGCCCATGGGCTTTGGGTTTACTATAGCGGACAGCCCCGGTGGGGGAGGCCAAAGAGTGAAACAGATTGTGGACAGCCCGCGGTGCCGCGGCCTGAAGGAGGGAGACCTCATAGTGGAAGTCAACAAGAAGAATGTGCAGAGCCTCACTCACAACCAGGTGGTGGATATGCTGATTGAATGTCCTAAGGGAAGCGAAGTCACGTTGCTGGTGCAGCGAGGAGGTAAGGCTTCAAAACTGCTTTAAAACACCTCTTCTTGAAATTAGAAAAAGGAAAAAATGCATGTCATGAAAGATCTGCTCTCCTAAGCTTCTCTGTAGAAATGGGTTTTTTTCCTGAGATGTAGGAACTGCCCCAAGTTGGCAGTTGTCAGGTCACATCGATGGTTAAAATTATTTATTGTGTGTTGGTGCACTGTGGGGGATGCTCAGGTTCCCACATGCACACAGAGCTGGTAAGGGGCAGGAGGGTGGTGTGGTTACACCTTTGCTTACATAACAAACCCTGGTCTCATGCTCAGAAAACCTGAGTGTTTTAAATAGAACATAGACATTCCTTGAGCTATTCTGAGATATGGAAAAGGCTGGTAATATGTTCTGTAATTTGCAGTGTTCAAAATCAGATACTTAATGACTCTTCATTGGGAAGGATTATACCTGGGATACATTTGGGAGCCTAGAAGAGAATTTAAATTTCTCCAAGTTGTAAGCAATTGCAATGTGACTTCTGCACATTTGTTTGCTGTGCCATTGGGAGCTGAGCTCATTTTTTGGTAGCACTGCTGAGGCCACCAGCAGGTACAAAACCCATCCCACAGGCAGCCCACAGGGAGAATGGCTTGCAAGTAACCTGTCAGTGGTCAGTCCATCCACAGGAACTCTTTCCCTTCACATTGTAAGTGTAAAGTAACCTGAGGCAGCACCCCTTTAACCTGTGGATTGAGATTGCTGGGGTTGGTTCAAGCCCACAGGAAGGTCCAGGTTGGCTGTGGGTGCAAAATCAAGAGCAGAGGGGTCAGCTCTCCCTCCCTCCCTGGCACTGGGGCTCTCAGAGGGACAAAGGGCTGTCCCCACCGTGCTCCCTGTCCCATGCAGGGTTCTATGGACAGCACACACATGGGTGCTCCGTGGATATCAGGAATGACCTTGCTGCAGAGGCAGAGTTAAAGGGACAGGAAGGTGCTGAGCACAGCCCCAGCCAGCCCTGAGGGGAGTGTGTGCTATGAAAGTACTTTCCTGCTGACTTTTCTAAAGTGTTTTGATTGCAGTAAACACCAAAAGCCAGTCCATTTTAACAAGGGACAAGTTGTTTCCTGATTTCACAAGTCTGGTTTGTTGTTTTCCAAGACTTATTTCAAGGCGTTGAATACATTGATTCTGCAGTTAATAGCAGCTCTGGAGAAAGCTCTGCCTTTCCTATACTCTTTTCTTTCCAAGTGCTTACTGTATTTTTGTATTTTGATAGTAAATTAGAAAGTAGAGAACAGAATATATTAAGAATTCTTCAATTTTCAAAGTGTGAGTTCCTTAAAGACTTTCAGTACTAGAGAGATTTTAAAAATGCACTTCATTCTCATGATTAATATATGTATTATGGAGAAAATATGGTTGGAAGAAAAATAGCAGCTATTATTAATCCTCCTGGAGAGTGCATATATATCTGGTAACACCATATATTAATTATTTGAATTGTGCCTGACATTTAATAATCCTCCTAAAGCCTTGAAGGCATAATGAAAAGTTTAGATGAGGAAATAAAAGCCTAGTTTTAATAAAATAGTAAATAGTTCCCTGATAATCATGTTGAATCTTTTTTTTTATTTTTTTTTAATTTAATCAAGATACTAACCACATTTGCTATCGCCTTCCTAGATAAGGTACCATGTCAGTCTCCTTGAACTGTCTCCCTCCCTCCTTCAAGGTCCTCACATTTCCATCTCAGCAGAGCAGTTTTGAATTTCATGTTCTTGGGGTACAGAACTTGGAGATCCTGGTGGCCCTGGCCCACAGTTTATTATTGAAACAAGGTTCTCCTCACATCCAGAGGCAAGCTGGACCAAGGTGCTCAAGCTATGGTAGAGAAGCCAAGCAGAGTATGCACAGTAGAAACCTCAGACCCAAAACCTGTCAGGTTTGTTCAAGTCTTCTAAGGTGATGCTGGGGGATGAGAGGCTGGCCATGCCCAAGCCATGTGCACTCAGAGCCCAGAAATCCAGCACCTGGGCTGCAGGTGAGAGGGGGACCCTGCCCCTCTGCTCCACCCTTGTGAGACCCCACGTGGAGCACTGCATCCAGCTGGGGGCCAGCACTGGAACCACCTGCACCTCTGGGAGCCAGTCCAGAGGAGGCCACCAAGATGACCAGAGGCATGAGGGTATGCATAGCTCTGCTGTGAGTACAGGCTGAGAGCTGGGGTTGCTCAACATGGAAAGAGAAAGCTTCAGGGAAACCTTACAGCACCTTCCAGGATGTAAAGGGGCCTACAAGGTTGCTGGAGAATGACTTTTTACAGGAGCATGTAGGGACAGGACAGGGGAAATGGCTTTAAACTGCAAGTAGGTAGGTTTAGATTGGATATTGGCAAGAAGTTGTTCCCTGTGAGGGTGGTGAGGCTCTGGCACAGGGTGCCCAAAGGACCTGTGGCTGTCCCATCCCTGGGAATGTCCAAGGCCAGGCTGGATGGGGTTTGGACACCCCAGGACAGTGGAAGGTGTCCTGTGCCCAGCAGGCCGTTGGAACTAGATGATCTTTAAGGTCCTTTACAACCTAAACTATTTAAAAAAACAAAGGTGGAACTGGCTGAAATCCACCTGGCTCTCAGTGCTGCTGCACTCGGGTCCTTTCCCTGTAACTTCACCTCCTGTTGCCCCTGCCAAGTCTCTCCTCAGCAGCACCATCCCCAGACAAGGCGCCGCTCTTTATTTTGGTGCGATTGCAGAAATGTATTTGGCTCAGGTGTCTGATAAGCTCCTTCAGGGCTCTTTCTTGAAGCTGTTCTTCAGCTTCTCTGTCACTTGTCCTTTCCTCCTCCTCCCTCTGGTGTCCAGTGAGGAAAGTGCTCAGCTGCTGTCAGCATCCTTCCTTCAGCCCAGCTTGCATTCAGTCCCGCTGTGCAGGAAGCATCCCTGTGATGCCAAGGCTTGTATCCAAGAGCTGCTGAAAGGATGTTCAAAGTGATTACTAATCAAGCAGAAAAATATCAGAAAGAGATGTGCAATACACAGGAAAAGCTCTGCCTGCTCCAAGCTGCTGGTGCACTCCCAACAAGGAGGTCTAATTGTTAAAATGCAAACGCAGAGTTGCTGAGAACAGCCTGTGAAATATTTACTGTGAAGTGTGTTCAGCTGATGCACTGGCTTATGGGAGAGGGCAAATCCTGCTGCTGCCTCTGAGTGAGGAACACAAGGATGATGAATCCTGATGATTTCAGGAGGGGTGAAGCTGAAATGCCCCCTCTGTGTGCTCAGGTGTCATCTAAAATCATTTGCAGGATTGGGATAAATACTTCAATACCAATTCAGATCACTGAGAATTTGCTTTCCAGAGGCCTCGTAGAAAATTTACCTTGTCTGTATCTGGTTTAATTTTTTTGTATTTTCTTCTCCTTATTCTCCTCTGTAGGATCAGTCACACTGCTGTTGTTTTCCTGTTTCACCTATATGTGGATAAAACTGGATAAAACTCACTGATCTTGAGGGGTTCAGAAAGAGTTCAGCCCCCCCAGGGTGCAGAGAGTTGATTGGGCTGACTGGAAAAGCTGATTTTGCTTAGCAAAATGAAGGGACAGAGGGGACAAAATAATTATTGTCTCTATTAGGCAGGAGACATAGAAGGTACTTAAATGAAGGAGCTGGCTGAACAACTGTGTGTTTGGCTGAGAGTAATTTAAACTGGAAATGAGAAGGGGGTGCCAAGCCATTAGAGCCTGTAAGTCAAACTGGAGGAGGCATGAAGGCTTTACTGCCTGAAGGTGAAGCTGAGCACGTTCGAAGGGGACAGGACATGGTGCCTGCAACAGCAGAGGAGGTGCTTGATAACCCAGCAGCACCACTTGAGAGCTCTGCACCTCAAAGTAAACCAGTGCTGCTGCTACAAAATGCAGAATTAAGCATATGTTTTTGTCCCCGCACTGGAAATTGTGATTACATACCTTGGTTATTTTAAAGAATTATTGTTAAGGTGGCTGTAAAAGGTACAAGTTTATTTTGAATGTTTGTAGCTGAAAGGATTCTTTTAACCTTGTATCTACCAAGTACATGAAGTACTTTCTACAAAAAAAAAAAAAAAAAGAAAGCAAAGTAACAAAGTAATATTATTTGCCACTTGAAATCCATTAGTCATTGAAGCTTTGCCTATGTACTGTAATCAACTGAAATAAGCAATTCTCAAATACCTCTTCATTCTGCACAGACTCTATTCATAATACAAGAAACATTTTGTCACAATAATTTCACTGCTTCCCAAGGGACTTCTATTCTGGAAGTTGTGCCTGTGTTGGAACAGGTGGGGGGCTGTATAAGAACAAGTTATTCTGCAAAACTACTGTGCTGTATTTTTTGGAATCACTAAGATCTAATATTTGTTTCAGAGAAAATTTTAATGTATTTTATGTTTTGTGAATTGCCTCTGATTAAAGAGGATATTTTTTTCCTTTTTTACGTCTTTTTTTAGGTCAGTCTTCAGGTTAACCAAAATATATGTGTTTAGTTTGTGTTCAGTTCCAAGATTTACACTGAGTGTTCATGCAGGTTTTAACAGACAATTTACCTTCAGAGCTCTCACAGTTAGTGCTTAGTTGCATCTTTATTCACTGGAAGGTCAAAAATAGCATAAACCTTAGCCTGATCTACATAATCCCCTGGAAGATGTGTTCCCACTTTGGTCCAGATCAAAGTAAAGGCACGCAGGTGAAATGTCACTCACATGTCATGTGCAAATCAGTGCCATTTCTAATTGCTTTGCCTAGTGCCAAACTCACATTGAACTGGGGAATGGGAATACATCTTCTGAAAAAAACAATTTAATATAAATAAATAAATATATATATATGCTAAATAGGTTTATAGATATACACAAGAGTGTCAAAACTAAATGTATTTTATGGGAAGAATCAATACAACATCTACTTGTCTAAATGCCCATCTGTGGCTACCTGAGTCTTACCTTCATGTAAAGTCCATGGTAATTTCCCTATTTATGGTTCAATGGAATGAAAGGTGCTTG